TTTACAACAACAACAACCAACCCAGTACACTGAGAAGACATGCATGTTCTTTGATCTGAAGAGACTTTCATTCTGATTGGAATTTTGAGGAACTGCATCCATAAGCAAAAGTCCAGTTCATCAAATTGTAGCAACTAACACTTGCTTAGAGTATCAAACATCTTTATATTTATCAGATCAAGGAGTTCTGGTAGCACAGTGGCTATGAGTTGGACTGCTAACCTCAAGGTCAGCAGTTCAAAACTGACCTTTTTGCTCCCATAAAGATCTACAGCCTCAGAAACCCTACACAGAGTTACTATGAGTTACAACCTACTCCACGGCCCACTACAACTACCACCACCAGGATCTAGCCAGCTCAACAACCCTAGGTATCCAATCTAGGTCAAATGGGTACCAGATGCAAGTTTGGGAGCTCACATACACCTCCCTGCACTTCAAAACAATTGGCTCCCTCACTCTCAGCCTTAGCTCCCATGGGCTAAGCCAGTGCCCATGGTTTTAAGAATTCATACAACTCCCTAAACTTCAAATCAGTCAGCCTTCCCTCTTATTTCATCTCAAGGTCAACAGGCTCAAATATAGTATGTCCAAACTCAGCCGTGTCATCATTGCAGCATTTCCCCCAATTCCACTCACATGTATTCTGTCCTAGAAGAGAGTTTTCTCTGATGGGCCATCTTTCCTTGCCTTGATGCCTCAGAAACTCAACACACCAAACTGTCTGCTGTTTTTTTCTCAGCTTTCTTTCAATCACAAGTCTCTGATCTTGTGATTGATCTTCCAACAGTACTGGGTTGGTCTGCATGTCTTTTCAAATGCAAATGTCTCAACTCTAAAGTTCTGGGTGGGGCTCAAGATACTACCTAAAGCTCTACAAAGGCTTAAACCAAGAAGCCTATTTAAAAAAAAAACAAAAAACAAAAAAAAACAATTTGTAAGGCCCCTTTTAGCAAATCAAATCAGGTGTAGGCTGAAAGCCAGTTTACAAATTCTGTAATTTTAATTCCCAATATTCCTATCACATATATATGCGTATTTTACCATTATACTCAGAAGCCAATATCCATAAAGCAGTCAAACACATGAACCTTTTAAAATACTCAAATTCAATCTTTCTGTCTACCTTGGACTAACCCCATGCATATGCATATGGCCTTGGGCCTCTGGCAGGGTGGATTCCAGTAGACCCAGGCCCAGTTTCAGCCACCCTTTTTAACCAGCTCTGGGCAACACTAGAAGTTGTCACTCTCCCCTATCCACTGAAATATTTTATCTACTAGCTGTCTAAATTCCAGCTACTATTTTGAGAGAGGTAAGGAGCTCTGGTAGCGTAGTGGTTACGAATCGGGCTGCGAACCTTAAGGTCAGTGGTTCGAAACTACCAGC